TTTTTTTTTTTTTTTTTTTTTTTTTTTTTTTTTTTTTTTTTTTTTTTTAATTGGGACAAAGATATCTAGGATATTGCAAAAATAAACACCTAATGTTTTTGTGTTCATTTTGACAAGAAACTTCCTTAAATTCTTGAAGAGGAGCTTCTTGTTCTGTTTACTACCTGTCATCTGTACTTTTTAAAATCAGTTTGCTCTTCTCATGGTTCTTTAGACTTAAAGATCAGTTCCAGGGATAAATGTATCTTTTGTCTTTTTAATGTTGCTTTTATTCCATAATTGTTTTTGCAGTGTCATTTCAGCACAATACAGAGTGCAAAGCAGCTAAGGGCTAGCTTGCCCTCCTGTACTTGTTGCTCTGTACAGTTAACTGCATTAGTAAAATAAAACTCTTAAGTGATGTGAAGAATATATTTACTCCTATTCCACTGTCTCCATGGAGAAAATGTTCTGTTCTACAACAAATACAAAGACCTGTAGAGAGAGCAGCTGTTCTGACTGGAATGAGAGAAGTATCTTTGATGATGTCCTTCACATTAAAATGCAGCACTCTAGGGTGACTTTATTTAGCTTCTTCTGTCCCTATGTTTTGATGTTCTCATGTCACTTACAGAATGGATGAGTAAGGGTTAGCCAGTTGCTTTCTGAAATAATTTGTGATGTTCAACGTTGTTCCTCCTTAAAAAAAGGAGAAAAACATGAAACAAACTACATGGAAAAATTGATTTTACTAAGCTGTTTTTTCCTTTTTTCTTTTCTGAAACAGCTTTTCTTAAGCCCTTTAGCATAGTTCATTGAGACAGTGCATAATGCATTTTAACTTAACTGGCATGTGACTTGGACATTCATATTACACAATACCACTACACATGAAGTTTCTTGGTTCATGCAGTTAATGGTAATAACAGAATTAAACAAAAAATTCATAAATGCTCATTTGAATAATTTTTTTCTTAGAAAACTTTTTGTAATTTATTGAAATGCAATTTTTTCCCAGGTTTTACTATGGAAATATGTATAGTTTTCTATTGAAATATATCAGGGTTTTTTATGCATGTATGTCTGTGTATACATGAAGACAAATGAGTTAACTTGTTCTCACATTGTTTTTACAAAATATTTGGCTACAAGAGACAAGATTCTGTTTTCAACTAGTAGCATCTATTCCAGTTCTAATATGAGCATGTTTGGTACTGTTTGTGAAAACTCCTGGAAAAGCTTGGGCAGATGAATAGCAAATATCTATTTTCCAGAAATAAAAGAGAAAAAACCTCCCTTTAACTCGTGTTTAGTCCACTGTGTAAGCTACTCTCATTATTTTAAAAATACTGGTTTCTTGTGAGTTTAGTGATTAGACCAGTGTTTTAAAGACAGTTTAGCAGCCTGTTTTCTTTGGATTCCTGCTACTTGCACAAGTTTCCCTCTCTTTGAAGGCCCTCAAAAAACATATGTCAACTTGACAAGTTTCCAACTTGATGATAACATACTGGATGACCTCAGTTCAGTTTTTAGTAGGCGGACATTCTCAGCAGCAGAAAAACCCCAACTGCAGAATAAAGCCAAAATCCAACCATCCTTAACCATGTTTTCTTCTGGCAGACTGAGGCACATAGACATTTCCCTGATCCTCACACTTTGGGTGTAATATGGAACAATTTTCTGGGATCTCAGGGGCCCTTGTTTATCCATGGGAAAAATATCCAGGAAACTGTGGTGTAATCTTCCATTAAAAAAAAAAAAAAAAAAAAAAAAGAAGAAGTATGTTTATGAGTATAACTTGCTCCCAGTTGAATGCTCACTGAAACATCAATCTGTACTTTGGACAACTTAAAAAAAATTGTTTTATGTGCAATTTTATGTAATTGTTTTCTGTATAATAATGCTCAGATTGTTGCTCAGTGGAAACTTTAGAGATCAAAATGTCTGTGTTTGGTGTAGCTACATTCCTGAAAAATCAGAGGTTTTTCTTCCCAAGAGAATAAGAAGGATCTGCCATTAACAGCCACTGGTTGTGGTGAGCAGCTGGGCAAATAGAGCTACTTTGAAACAATTTAGGTAGGACCATAATGTCAATTACTCATAAATTTATTTGCTCAAATGTATTATTTTTTTGTTTGCTTGGGATTAGCAACCTGTAAATGTAAAATCACTAGCATCTTATAATTTACTTTATCACTGTCCTAATAAATTCAACACTAGTTCTCAAAAATAATCACTGTAATTTCGTGTATGCTTAGATTTACAGCATGGCTTTATTTCTCTAAACTAAGGCAGGCATGGGCTTTCTTTGCTTGACTTAATGTTTTCAAATGTTCAGCCAGCTCTTCACCCTGCATAATTCATACTCAGGCCCACTGAGTGCAGAGATAAAAACCAGAGGAATATGGTTTGGTCTTGCCTGGAATGAAGTTCCGTGCTCAGCACAGTGTGTGTGGTGTTCGTATCTGGCCCAGGTCACTGTCAGTTCAGGGTGGTGTTGGTGCTTACTGATGTTTAGACATACTTTGAACCTCCTGAAATGACACACAAGAAGTTGGTGGTTTGAGTGGAATACTAATGGTAAGATTGGGATGGAGATTAATTTCATATATCTGTGCTGAAATGGAATTTATAAACATTCATGATTTAGATTTAACCATGTTAACTGTGCATACTTCTGCTGAAATTCGGTAAAATAGTTTCCTTTGCATTCGCTTTTAGAGACCTACAGAGACTCTATTGAAATCATTATGAATTTAGTCCCTGCCTGCTTCTAGTGTGATGGGAAAAAGTCTTTGAGCATATTTGAAGGCATATTAGGACCTTTTCCCAGTGTAGTGGAAAGGAAATGAACTTTTGGGTTTTGTGTTAAAACAGATGGTCAATTCTAAATAGTACTGTTGTTTTGTTTACTTCCTCTTGGAAAGCTCTGTTGAGTTAGAGAAGCATGTGATACACAAAATGTGGGTTTGGAAAGGATGAGTGTTTTGTTTGTAACAAATGTTTAACTTGAAGCCAACACAGAAATAAGGCTATTTTGAGCAAATGCACTAT